GCAGCCGCAGTGAGCGGCCGTCCAGAAGCCGGCGACTGATCTGCCTCGCCTGGGAAGAGCGCAATGATGGTGCCAACTTGGGCCAGTGAAGCAACTAGACTGAAGAACAAAAGGACAGCAACTTGTCTGTGCCCCTTCCCCCAATTCCCCAGCACTGTTCCCTTCCCCCCAATACCCCAATAAAAATCTTAAAAAAAAAATGATATAAAGAAGTTCTATTTCCCTCTTTACATAAGCAGTCACCTCCCTTAAAGGTAAACACTTCAAAGTTGGATATCTGTGTTTACTAATTTCTCTTCTGTGTATGTGTGTATATATGCACGTATGCATAAATGTTTATTTTTTAATGAAAATGGGTTATATATGTGTATTATAATAACATTTTTATGTGTACCTCATTTTTTATGACTGCAGAGTATAGATATGTCATAATGTTTTAAATTCTGTTTCTGGATCATCTTGTATGTTACAGGATTGTGTTTCTAAGTGTATAGTAATAATAGACATTTTCCAGTGATTTCCAAGTCAGTTGTAAGTGCATGTAAAGGCTGGAGGCATAGCATGTATGTAGATCAGCAAAATGTGGACATGAAACATGAACCTAAACCTCCCAGTGAGGTGAACAACAGACAAGATGTGGGCTGTTAAATATTTTCAGATTTTCAAAGGTAACTGTAGCTAAAGTGCTGTGAGGACTGAGCGAAATTGATTATTAATGAAAAATTGGCTTAAGTTTCAATTTTAAAATATACCTTTAAATTAAAGTTCAAAATTTGAACTGATTTGGTTAAAATGTTAGGGTACTAAGTTTGTTTTAACTTAAATGTTCAATTTGGCTCTTTTATTTTCCCAAAATAAAATGAAATCCTAAATGTCACAGAATGTTGAATTAATAATAAATAAGTAAATAATCGAATTGCTGCTACTAATTTACCTCAAATTTGTATCTTTTCTTCTCATTTCTTCCACATTTCTTGCTATTTTTATGATTAGAGAGAGAAGTTTGCCATTGGTAGAATGAAAGAAAGCATTTCTTTGTAGTTTTCATGTTTCTTCACTGTTTACAGGTTTTGAGTAAAGTAGTTTCACAACCGATTTGATTCAGTTAAGTTTAAAATTTTTTAATTCGTTAATGAGTGATGCTCTCTGTTTAGTGACTTCAGATGAAAGCAATAAAACTTGGGGAAGGAACACGGTCTGTCGCCCAGAAGAATTCGAAGATGTAAAAAGGAATTTCAAGAAAAAGGGTTGTACCTGGGGACCAAATTCAATTCAAATGAAGGAAAGAACTGATTGCAAAGAAAGGTGCGTGTGTGACATCTGGTGGTTCCAGTGTGTACTGTGACAAGATAGCAGTGCCTTTTAAAAATCACATTGGCCAGACTTAACTTCTAAAAAGAAATCAGAATAATACAGAGATACCTGAATATTTTAAATTTCTAGGATGAGTCTATCATACTAAATCAATTGTTATTTAGTTAAGCAGTTAAAAATTTCTCTGGTATATTTTATCTCGTTTTAAGGTTTTGTTTGTGCTTTATTATTGGGTTGTCGGAAAAGTCATGACGTGTATTTTCTGTGTTTTTCATTGCAAAAAATGTGTCATGACTTCTCCGACAGCCCAATAGCTCTTCAAAACCTAATTTGTCATGTGGTTCTACTATATTAAAATAAACATCTTTCTCTTGTAGAATAAGACCTCTCTCAGACGGTAACAGTCCTTGGTCAACTCTCTTAATAAAAAACCAGAAAACCACGCCGTTGGCATCCTTATTTGTGGACCAGCCAGGTATGTGCTTCAGGAAATAGAATCTGTTTGAGTCAGACTTAGCTTCTGCGTGTTCTAGAACCTTTGACTCAATAGTCTCCTAGAGTCATCCCAATAACAGTGTTGCTTATACCTTTACTTCAGATCAGAGCTACTTCCTGTCTTGAAGTCTTCATGGCCAATGGTAATTTGGCTCCACATTGTTTATTAGGAATTTGTCATTCCTGATCTTTACCAGAGAAATTAGTGTTATAGTTAATTATGCAGAACCAAATTAATTTAATATAGGCGATAGTAAATATGAGAATGCAGACTTGCTGAAATTCTGCTGGATTAAGCGGGAGACCTCCTGGCTGTGTTGCCACCTCCTGACATGATGAAAGTTTGTCAAGCAGGTTAGTTCTGGAAAATACTGCTTGGAGAGTGTTACATTGGAATCTCTGTTTAATTTAAATGAATCATAATTATTTTCAGTAGCCAGCATTCCTATTCAATAGTCACATATTAAAAGGTTGAGGAGATATGGAAGGTGTTGAAAAACTTCAAGAATTGTTATCCCCAAAGAAAAGAAAATTGGTCTTCATACTTGACAATCTAAGACAGCTCTTTGATAGGTGTAGCAAAATTAAAGATATTTAGCAAAACATGGTGTCAGTTTTCTTGAATTTATTATTGGTGCTGAGTTCAATTTTACAAGCACTTTATCACTCACTACCCATGTTCAGTTTTCTTCTGTTACCATCATGAGGACGTGTTTTCAGTGTAAATATGTCCTTAAATACATTTGGGAATACGTGAGACAGGTGCTCTGTGAGAATTCCTGGGTAAATGATCTCTCTTGTCAGATTTATTATTGTACTCTGACTCCTTCCTGTGCAGACAAGAGTTTCCACGATTTATCGTCAAACATAGTTTGAAGACTAATGAAGAGCAATTAAAACTAATAAAGCTGTTATTTCTATGGTATATATTTCATTATTTGTAATTGCTTGTCCAGATAGAAGGGTTAATCAGAAGTTTTCCTGCTTTTTTCCCCTTAATCCTTTTAATCTTTTGTAGAGTATTTTGATCCTATTAAAAGGACAGTTACAGGAAATAAAAGCATATATTTGGCTGACTCAGCGCGGTCCATTAAGTTAACTCTGTAGTTCACTTGAAGGGTTGATGAGGAAAGGTTTATTCTTGTCTGTCCTGCCTGAAGGTCCCCTCCCACCGCGTCTTCTAAGCATGTGTGTCTCAGCTCGAGCTTTTCTGAAAGCCTTTCTGATGCCTTCGCTAAAGCAGCATCCCAGCCCATCACGCTGACTCATTACCCATTTTAATTTATTCATAGCTCTTATCTGAAACTCGTTTTTGTCTGCATTGACACCCGTACAGTGTGTGCTCTCGGTCACCCCCAAACTAGAAAGTTACCCCTGTGAAGGCAGGGATTTTATCTGGTGTGCTCACCACGCTGCTCCCAATGCCCGAGACACAGCAGCATTCAGTGTCTGCCAAAGGCCTAAGTCAATCCTGAAAGCACTGTTTGACCTAATAGAGATATTGATTCTTTTTACCTTGGTTTGGGGGCTGCTAACGCTTGTCATGGGCTATAAGAAGGATGGGGAAAGATGATGGCGGGTCAGTGTATGTCGTGAGGAGGGAAGTATATGCTTACTGCTCAGTAAAGGTACATACATGGGAGCACACATTAGGGAACGCTCAATATGCTTTGAAGTCTATGGACTTCATCAGATGATAGCGGCTCCCCTCTTCTGTTTTTAAATGATGGATTGAGTATTTGTTAGCTGTTTCATATACTGTGCATTGTATTCACCAAAATGCATTTTTTTTTTCCTATTTGATGAAGGCACTGCTCAGGGAAGAGCCCTCAGGAGATAAAAAGCTAAGCAAGTGGTATTCTGAGAGACTTATGAGGGCAAAGGGCACTGGGTGAGCAGTGTTACAAAGGGAAGGGGGACAGACAGAGAGAATGGGGCAGGCTGAGGAAGGGACAGTGACGGAAGAGCACGTGCTTGCTGGGGAAAGCGGGCATCTGGCTTGTCTCAACAACGGAGCTCATTTCAGCCACAGTGGGGGGTGTAGCAGCAGAAAAATAACTGGAGGCGCTGCTGCAGATTGCTTTGAACACCTGATCAAGGAGTTTGCAGTTCCTGTCACTCACTGCTGGGCACCTAAGTGATAAGAATTACGGCCTCCTCTTCAACTAGTAGGATCTGTTACCCTTTGGACTCGAATCCTTTTGGAGAAGCTTTCTCCACTGCAGTGACTCCCAAACTTCAGCAAAGGCTGTGAAAACACAGATCACTGGGCTGCAGCCCTAGAATTTCTGACTCCATGTCCGGAGTGGGCCAGGAATTCTCATTTCTACAAGTTTCCAGTGATGCAAGTTTCCAGTGCGGCTGGCCGGGGAACACACTTTGAGGACCACTGATCTCATGCATGATGGTTCTTTCACACGCAGGCCAGCTATAGGAAACGGGCCATCTTCAGATGAGGAAAAGGCATATTGTGTCTGACAAATCACAGGGCCTATGGCTATGTGTGCACATTTCTGTATCTTGATGACTTTGTTTCTGCAATCATTTTATTTTCCATACTTGTGAAGAGCCACTTCCTGAAGGACAGGAAACAGCAGACGGTCTGCCTGCCAGTTCCTCTGAAGGGACCTCGAATACCCGTGCCCTGGACAAGGGTCCCCTTCCTTAGGGTCTGCCTGGACCAACTGTTTGCCGAACTGGAGAGAACTCTACCATGTGTTTTGATTTAGAATATTTATTTGTTAGATTTTAGCTTTATTTTACAGTATAGTTTAAATGATTTTTACTGTGAAATGCTATTGCCTTGTGTCTTTTTACCTTTATTTAGGTGTTTGTGAAGAACCAAAGTTCTCCGCTGATGGAGTAGAACACAGAAAACCAAAGCAAATGAAACTGCCCAGTCCAGCCTACGTTGACCTACCTCTGTGGAAAGATGGCCAGAGGGAGAGCCCAGTGGACGCCGAGAGCTGGGAGGAAGGAGTCTCTGGGAGCCCTGCCACTGGCACGCCTCAGGTGACCCCTACCAATACTCTGAGCAGGTCACCCCCCAGAAAGAGAACGGAGTCTGCTTTGTACAGCTGCACTGTGCTGCTGGCGTCGGTGGCTCTGGGCCTGGACATCAGGGAGCTTCACAGGCCACAGGCTGCTGAAGAGCCGTTGCCCAAGGAAGAAAGGAAGAGACGCGAGAGAATCTTCCAGCGGACTCCCAGGTCCCGCAGCGGTGCCAGTGCCCCCAGCAGGCCGCTGTCCACGGGCGAGGGGGCCGGCAGCCCAGCCTCGTTACCCCCGCCCAGCACCCTGAGCCTCCTGTCCGTGCCTTCTCTCTCCACCAAGTGCCTGCTGCAGCCCGAGGGTGAAGATTCCTTTGAGGGCAGTACACACATCACTCGTGACCCCAAGGTGCCCACTCCAGATTTTTGCCCTGCCGTGGGAGGAGGTAGTCGTGAGCCAACCTCCACGCCAAGACGTGAGGCTGATCGTAGTGTGTGGAGCCACCTGTGTTCTCCCCCCTTAGAGCAGACCCATGGGAATGTGCCTCCTTGCGCTCCTTCAAAGGGAAGAGCAGCACGCCACCGACGGACCATGTCAGACGGAAGTGCCGCTCAGGCCCCACGTAGGTAGCCTCCCGGGTAGTGGGTAATGGTACGGACACCAGTGTAGACATGAGAATGGAGTCTCCCAGTCTGGATGTCTGACAGCTGATTCCACTTACACGTTCGTTTTCTCTGTTCACATACATCTTCGAATTTTACCCTACTGTCTCATTTGGCTTTAGCTTAACTATCATTTTGATTCTGGGAAAAGTATAATTACATTTCAGTAACTTCAGTATGTAACAGCATATTAAAACAGAAAGAGCATGTGGAGAATTAACTGCCCTGCGTCCCTCGTGGTAGAGAAGACAGGTTGTTTGTCCAAATCAATCGTGAGTGGGAGAGCCAGAACTAACATTGGCCATCTCGCCTCCCCCATGACACCTGACTTCTTTGTCACCCAGCTTCGCAGCCCAGTGTGTGTGGAGATGGAGTTTAGCAGGTGTAAGGGTCAAACGATACACTATTTGCCCTGTAGAGGTCAGCTGTTATTTCTTCTGTATGTGAAGATCATTACAACTACTCATAGATCTGTCATGAGTATTAAATGAGATCATGTATGTGAAAATGTTACATTTTAGATTGTAACATGTTTCATTAGGGTTGGTTATAAAGTATCAAAAACCTGAAACTGATTTCATTCTCTTTATCTTTTCCTCTCCCTCCTCTACTTAAGTACTATAAATAGACATGATTTTTTTTTCAGATTATTGTTCATTGCCTTTAGATAAATTGGTTTGTTGCCCTTCGGTAATACAATGAAGTGTTTGTGATTTATAATTGCACAAGGAGAAATCCTAGCACAATAACCCCATAAGAAACCATTCTTTTTCTCTTCGTTATAAGCCAATAATTATTTGCTAGAGTAGTAAGAAGTCAGTTCGTTCTTCAGAAAAGAGAAGAGGTAACATGCGAACACCTGACTGCTCCCCATTTTCATTAGTCTTTCAAATCATAATTGGAAAGTGAAGTTTAACCATATTAACGGTCATTTTTAAAAGTCCTAACTTCACTCGTCTAATCCATTTTGAAATCTACCCTGTTTATAAAACAATTCTAATGATCACGGGTCTAAGCACTTCGGTGAAGACTTAACTCCATTTCCAGACACAGTTTCCATAGTTTAAAGCATTTTTTTCTAGCCTTGCAGGACTTTTTCATAAGAAATCAAACAAGCATTATGTCCTAACAGTTTTAAAATGTTTGTGTTCAGGGGTTTTTTACTACCCACTTGAACTGTCATCGCACTTATTTTTCCCACTACGCCTTGTTTTAGAAGTCACCATCTGTCTAATCGCACACTGTCTTTGCTCTCTCCCAGCAGCTACGACTCTCCTCTCAGGCACTAGAGCCCTGACACTGCCACCTGAGAGTATTTTGGGGACGCCCCACTCCTCATCCGGCTCTCACAGTAACCTGCCAAGACAGACCCTGCCTGGAAGACAAAAAGCTGTCGCTGCCGTGCCACTGCCTCGCCCTCCATCCCTGAGATGCCCAGTGGATGCCGCCCCGGCCTCCTGGCAGGGAACGGAGCCTCTGCCTGCACAGGCCAATCCTGTCTGGGCTGGTCCTGAACCAACCCCAGGCTGCTCCCTGGGTGCCAAGGACAGAGCTCTGTCACACGTGCCTTCCTTACTGGACGCTGATGTGGAGGGCCAGAGCAGGGACTGCACGGTGCCTCTGTGTAGGATGAAGAGCAGAGCCGGCCGGCCGTCCATATACGAACTGGAGAAGGAGTTTCTGTCTTAAGTGCCTTACGCCCTCCCAGCATTTCTTTTCTTTTTTCACATGAACAAATTAAAACAATGTGTCTGCCTTTGAACTGCTTCATGCTGCTGTGTTTCCAAACGCTGTGGCCATGTTCCTAAAATGGTAATGGATGTCTAACTGCCCCTCAAATGTACGGGATTGCTGTATGCTGTCTGCGTGTATTTTCCCCCCTGGGTTTCTACCTAGCAACTTGAAGTACACACAGGGGTAAAATAAGAAATGTGCAGCCACGTAAAACTATGCTGGTTGAGTTACTGTAAGCACAATTTTAATGTTCTGCGCTCACTTAGATCCTTGTCTGCCAGTACACAGAAACCACAGTGAGGTACACTGTTTTGTGTTCTTTCCCAAATTTTCCTTTCTTCTCTCTTTTCTTCTTTCTAATCTCTCTTGCTCTCGCTCTCTTTCTCTTTTGTGCAACGAAAAGTCAAGAAGAATAATGTGATATAAGTAAGTAAAGGTATCTATGTTTTCTTAAATAATGTCTAAAATAGATGCCAAGTCCTATTTAAACTACCTAAACTCAGCAGTAGGTTGAGAATACATAAATATGCCCAATTCTCACCTAAATTATGCACTATGTCTCTCTTTGAGCAACTCTACTGAATGTAACTTGTAAACGTTTTACTGAATGTAACTTATAAAAATGTTACCATTACACACCAAAATAGATTTTTTAAAGATCAGCCATTGGCACTTGGCTAGGGCCGAGTCCTGCATACCTGAGAGATGCTCACACACGGGCTCCTCCTGGAAAAAGGTTCTTCCCTCCTCAGTAGCCATTTCTTTGGTCTCCAGAAGAGTAAAACTTTTTCATTTTGTAGTAGAATTTTAAAAAATTAAGTGACACATGTATCATGTATTACAAACATTCATGTCATTTAGTTTTGGTTTTCTCTATTTAAATGCATAATTAAAAATCCCAAATATAATTGAAAAGAAACACTGCCACGTCAAGAAACAACAGTACTGTTAGAATTTAAGTATTTTGTAGTTATTTCATATCTCATTTAATTGTGAACAAATGTTAGAGATAAGCTGATATGGTGGAAAGGACAAATATATTACAGAATTTTCAGATATGGGTTTATAAAATGGACCTTTGGATAGCAGATCAGGATTTTAAATGATTTAAAATTATAAATGAATCTCTTATGAATCATACCTAGATGATACAAAGAGACTACTGAGTCATGAAACAGAAATGGTTATCCGGGAGCTTGGTAAATTTGTCTGGGTTTATTTTGCTAAATCTATTTTGCTCCCCTTCTGTCACTAGATTATGGTTACTCAAATAACAGACAATAAATGTTTAAATTTTTCCATATAGTGAAAAACGAAATTACAAACCTTACTTGATATTTTATTTAAAAATTTACCTTGGTTAAGGTTTACTGAATAACTGAAATGTCAGCAATTTAAACTAAATCAGGTGTGATAAAATACCTGCCTATCTAGAGAGAAAGGAAAATTTTATTTGGCTATTTGGGGACATCTTAGTCACCTAACAGGTGTGACCCAGCAGATGACGAGCAGGGCATGAAAGGATTAGAGTAACATAAGCACATTTTGCCCTCAAAAAATGGTCTTGGGCTTAAGATTGCAGAAAAATCTCAGGTAATTACTGCATTTTCTTTTATTATTGTCCATTCTATGATTTGGGTTTATTTTGGGGTGACTGTTGAATTAGACCATCGAGATCTGGTTTCCTCTAAATTTTACCTCACTTGAAACTATGTTTGGCCGCTTCGTACTCAGTCATTTGGGGGCACGTAAGTTCCAGCCAAACGTAAAGGGGGAGGGGGATTTCTACATAATATATGAAAGAAGAGGTATAGAAACTGGGTTCTCAGTTTTGCTTCTACCAAACATTGTGTGGAGTGGGGGGCATGCAGGGTGTCATCTGTCTCGTCCCTCTACTCTATTCCTGCTCCTGTTTAGCTTTATTTTAGTCATTTCTACACTGTAATAAATTTAGAAATGAAGCTATTTAAAAAGATAATTACAATTTAAGGACTCGCTCTTACATGTTACTCCAATCCAGATAGCTATTTTTTTGCTGAGATCTATTGTACATTTGTGATTTTCTATGTGTATACTTAGCAAAATCTGGTTATTTATTTTCGTATAGACTTAATAGCTCACTGAAAGATAAATTAAGCTGATTTCTATTAGTCAACAATTAAGGTGCTCCCACTGCAGAGTTAAGGCCTGGGCCTGATGTGCTGTATTATGAAGCCTTGTGAGTCAAAAAGATGTTTACATATGTTGTCTATTTTTTTAATAAACGTTTTTTATAGCTAGTCTATTTGCCCTGTGGCTTTGATCTACTCCTGATGACTGTGACTATAGTTTGTAATGGTTTATTTTGTGTTCAATTAGGAATAGTACGTTAATAAAGATTACTAATGCTTAATAAGCCAGAATCATTAAACTGAAGACCACTAAATGAGTTATGGAATTGAATACCTTTTTTAAAGGGATGGTGAAACATTTTATTCCAAGTTTTGTTCAGTGTACATAGCATTGAAGAGTTGCATTTCCTGGCGAGAATGTGCAAGTCCAGCTTCTCAGAAGGCATGCTTTTTGCAGCAAGGAGTTCATATAGGAACTAAATGTCAGTTGATGCTACAGAAATGTGACTGAGTCATGTTAACTGTTCACATGTTTAAGTCAGAAGAATTTCAGAAACCACCAAACAGCTGGTAATTCTTACTATGCGATAAAAGCTTGAGTGAGAAAGCAGATCATAGCATTTCCTGCAGATCCAAGCATCCCTTACCGTGAGAGGGAGGGGAATTCAGCCTATGTTGAGTAGCTCCCAGGTTCCTCTCTAAGACACCTCCTGTTCTCTAATGACATTTGTGGGGTAAGTAGTACTATTTCATTAGACAGGAAATCAATACCGAGAACTTTGACAAATTCCCAAAGACCCAGCCTGTATCTAGTCACTAACATCCTGCCGCTTCACCCTTGTAACCACACACATAGCACAGGAGACGAGGACATCTGAAATCGGAGCTTTGTACATGAAATCCAAAGCTAAGGTAGTTTTTCATCCACCAAAAGGAAGAGATGTTTTTTTAAATTAAAGTTAGAATTCTAGAAATGTACACGCACTTAAAAGCAAAGCTAATCATGGTTAATACAGTAGGGTCCGTGTAAGGAGAAACAGGAAGTACTAAAACACCTGTAACATCTACTCAGAAAAACGATGGCTTTATAAACATGGTGAAATTAAGAACTGCAGCATAAATGTGAAATTACTGGGCTTAAGCTGTCTATACCCTTTGAAAAGGCCAGCATGCTCAAACACAGGGCAAGATGAAGCCTTAATGAGTGAAACTGGAATGGATCGGACAGTGGATCCAAAATTGGCTATTTTTCAGCCAAGCTGAGCTGAGTGGTGGTGGACGAGGGGGCTAGGGGGAGCAGCCCATAGCGCACACGCCACAGGTTCGCTGCTCTTACCACGATTGAGGATCTTTTGGAATAAATATTTATTTGCTGGATGCACTTCAGACAATTTCTAGAGGCTTTAAATTTTAAAGAAAGCAAATTTTCATCCGTTATGCTGATTTCCCTGGGGAGTAGGTCCTTGGACCTCCTCATATGACATCCCATACGTGGAGCCTCTTGGTAATATTTCCCAAAGTTGATCACCAACTCCTTTTGAAGCATTTTCTCCTATTGGCTCAAGGACCATCCCACATCTAAATTCATGGTGTTAGCTCTACATGAATACATTTTAAGGCAAATCACTCAATTTTCTATCTCCAGCCCCATCCTAATCTTAGAACTCCATTCGGACATATTCTGCTGCTTTCTTGTCATCTCCCCTGAGATGTCTAAGAGGCATTTCAACAAGACATGGCCCAAATCATCTTCTCGAGTCACTGCCTTTCCTAAATTCGCTCCTCCCTTAGTCTTGTCCTGGTAAACAGCACCAGCCCCCCAGAGTTACAGCCTCCCCACCCCCAGCATGCTGAAGTAGCAACGTCATGAATGTACTAGTCACCCATGGTTGTTTGACAACTATTTGGAGAATAATTGGATAAATCACTCCCAATTTACCGATGAAAAGCCTGAAGCTTAGGGAGAGCAAGCAAATTGCTGGATTTGAATCCAGTCTGAGTCTAGTCGATGCTTTTAAACCACAGGAACAAAGTTTCTGAAATGTTAAATATTTGGTTTTCAATAAACGTTACTGTCAGCATGTTGATCGAAGGGCAGTTGAAAGAAAGTAATATAAATTAGTTGAAATGGGACTTAGGGCTATCACTGTGGAGGACTCTGAATACTAGTGTAAGGATTTGGCACTGTATTTTTGCATTAAAAAGGAACAATTACAGGTTTTAATTTGGAGTGTAAATTAGTCAGGGTTCC